CCGACAAAGCTTCTTGGTAGGATGATAAGCCCGCTCCCAATAGCCCAGACGTAGGAAAGAAGCCTTTGGCTGCCCACCCCATGGACCAAACAATACGGTTGAAGATTGGGATCAGCGTATCAGTCCCAGGCAACAGAAATTTCGAGCGGATTGAACAAAGCAAAAATCTGCTTAGGCGAATATTCTTGGGTCTGAAGAGAACAAGGTTCAGGAAGACAGCCAGAATCTTCTCTTGGGATTCGTGAAGTCCATACTTTGTCTCGTCAGCATAGATTCCAACCGGAATTGCATCAAGATTATCCTGTACAATAGCCCAGCCAGCTCCATTTGCTTTCGCTTGCCACCAATAGCTCCGTACAGATTCAGGTTGCACAGTCAAGCCCAGCTGAGTATGCACATAATGCAGAACATCATGGGGATCCAACATTTGAAGCTTCATTTCCCCTACGGAATATGCAGTAGGCTCTTTAGCTTCATCTGTTGGCTCTTGACCTTCATAATTGCCATCGCCTTCGCAAGCATCATCCAGCTTGACCGGAACATTGACCACTACGGGATCCTTGAACTGACTGAGCTGTATTTCGCAAATGCAAACTATTACAATTGCTCTTCGTTTGGGTTTCTGACTGTGGCTTACTACTTTATGTTTTTGGTTTGTACCTGGAAGGAAAACCATATTTGGCTCTTCTAGCTGCGGCACTAGGGGAAGGTCCGCATAGTTGTAGAAATCACGAGAGGCATTCTTGATGTAGCGGAAGGAAGCCAGCTTCTTCGTTTTCCACGAGCATTTACCCTTGCTCTCCTTGCTTGCATCTATTACGGAAAAACATACGCTATGACTTTAAACTACTAGAATCAAAACCTCCTACATACAGAGAATCCGAATGCTTGAGAAACGAAGTCACCTTGCATATATTGCGAGCAGTTTCCATAGCTCTTCGAGCGCTTTCTCCCTGGCAGGCAATATGAGAACGCGGAGGCATTAACACATCCCAAAACAAGGCTGGCCACATTAAGTCGAGAGTCGCGATCACCAATTCGTTCCAGCATTTCTTGAAACGCTGGTGCCCCAGAATCATCGCTTGAATCAGTATCGCCTGCGCGCACTCACAATTACAGGAACATAAGCTTTCTGAATTCCTTGCCAAACACAATCTAGGTAGAAAGGCAGTTGCGCTAGAGGGCTTTTGAGAGCGGCCGCACGATGGCTGCATCAGCTGTGAAACCCAAAGACAGTTCCCGACAGCCGTAGAACCGCAATCTCCCATCACAGCGGGATGCATTATCATGATCACCACAGCTGCTCCGTGGTAGACAATTTGTCCATCTTGGAATCGTGACACAGACGTAGGTAATCCCACGTGCAGAGGAACCCCAAATCAAATCATTGGATCGTAGTCCAAACGTCTTTCACTGCACCAGCACATCTCAAGTCAGCAGTTTCCGGAACTAGATGGAGCTCGCAGCATGCTATAAACATGGAATGTGATGCGCTGATGCGGTTCCTACTGGCCTTTGCCAGCAGACGACTTCGTCTGGGCCTTAATGGCCTTTGCAGCCTTGTCAAAGCCACTGAGTGCATCATCAAGTCTCTCAATTCCTTGCTTGAGTACCTCCTTCGGATCCTGCCAAAACAGGGACTAGCCTAGCCCATGGCCTCTAAACCCTAAACCCTAAACCCTAAAGAAATCCAGCCTTCTTGTCCAAGAAGCCTTGCAGCTCCTCACGAGCAGCCTTCAGCTTTCCTTCAGCATCCTGCGATGGCAGGATTAGGGTTTAGGATTTAGGGTTTATAGGGTTTCAGGTTTGGAAGCAAATGAATTGTGGCTAGAAGGATGCATATTCAGGGTCTTACATCTATAAG